ATTTCATATCCTTGCCTGGGCATCTCATATCCTGCCTGGGCTACTTCATATTCATTTCATTTCTTGCCTTAGGCAATTTCATATCCCTGCCTGGGTAATTTCATATCCTTGCCTGGGCAATCTCATATCCCTGCCTGGGCTACTTCATATTCATTTCATTTCTTGCCTTAGGCAATTTCATATCCCTTCCTGCATAATTTCATATCCCTGCCTGGGCAATTTCATATCTATTTCATTCCCTACCTTGGGCTATTTCATATCCTTGCCTTTGCAATCTCATATCCCTGCCTGGGCTATTTCATATCCTTGCCTTTGCAATCTCATATCCCTGCCTGGGCTATTTCATATCCTTGCCTTTGCAATCTCATATCCCTGCCTGGGCTATTTCATACCTACCCTACTGCATTTATCATTGCCCCCTCAGAATGTCAGGCACTGCCTTCAGGGTCCATCCCAAAGAGGAAACATCACCTGGTTTGACCAAAAGTGAAGAAAACCAAGAGGAGAATGTTTTTACCTATCAGGGTCCATATAATGGGATGTTGGGATGTTGGTCACATGACCAATTACCAAAAATGGTCAAAAAATGAAAGTTGTAGCCCTACACTATAGCTTCCCGAATCTGTTTGAATTATGTTCTGAAGTGCTCCCATTGTGAAGATATGGGGTAAAAGATTTCCAAAAGTGTTGCTTCTTTTTTGTGTTTTTTTTTTTTGCATTTTTCTCCATGAAAACAAAACCAAACAACATGATTTCAGTATATTTGGAAAGCTAAAAAAAATGGGCTACAATTATTGTATCGTGGGAAAAATGACCAAAAAAGGAAGATGCATGCCCTAGAAAAGAAATTGACACTGATAGACTATAATAGTCAGATATAGACTACCATAACTACCAAAAAGTCAGACTTAGACTACAAGGTTTACTGATAGACTACAAAGTTTACTGATACACTACAAAAGTTGGATATAGACTACAAAGTTTACTGATACACTACAAATAAATACAAAAGTCAGACATAGACTACAATGTTTACTGATACACAAAAGACTACAAAAGTCAGACTTAGACTACAAATTTTACTGATAGACTACAAAAGACCATAAAAGTCGGA